TGGACAAATATGACCGGTGTCATTTTGTCTTGCCTTTGCTTCTTGCTGGACATTAACAACGTCTAAAGGCTCCCTTGTCAACGTAGACACGCCATCTTCGGTCCTAAAGCCTCATTTCTTTTGCCAGCTCTTCAAGCCAGTCCTGCATCTGTGCCTGACATCATGGCCCATTCAGACCACCAATCTGAGCAGGGCCTGTGCCGCTGGGTCTAAGAATCCACTGGCTAGAGATGCCTCCCTGGCTCCTTTGGGGGTCAGCGAGGTGTCCGAGGCAGAGGAAGGGGAGCAGGATGCTCCTCATCTTTCAGAGGACGAAAATCCTCTTCCTGATACGCCCGCCTTCTTAGGCTTACTCAATCGCTCTATGTTTAGGGCTATCCTTACCAAGGCCAGGACTTCCGCCACCCAAATGGGTCTCCCAGCTCAGGCAGACAAGACGTCTACCGATCAGAGCAACAAAGATACTATTGGGCCCCAGGAACCTGGTGCGGGGCTCTTCAAGGAGACCACTCATCCTCAGGATCTAGTCCCAGCCCCCCAGCTGTTCTGGATGTTATCCAGCACCAATGGGCCCAACCAGGTTCTATGGCTAATCCCAGTGAGGTAGATAAGCTGTATACCATGGAGAGTAGCCTTGAGGATCTCTTAAAGCTTCCTCAGGTGGATGACCCCATTGTAGCACTAACTTCCAATTCAGTGTTTCCAGCCGACCTGCTGGAAGGCTTAAAGGCTGAGGACAAGAGAGCATCATCATCATCTTACTTTAGCAGAGCAGCACTGTTTTGGCTCCGCAAACTGCTGTCCAGCCTACTGGCGGGGGACACCAGAGCACGACAGGATGTGAATAAAATCATAGCGGCTGTCGAGTACTCTGCCAACGCCTCACTTAACGCCACAAAATTTTCCTCCAGAGCCCTCGCCTCCAATGTGACCTCACACTGTCTGCTGTGGCTTCGCCACTGGAAGGCAGACATGAAGGTGAAGTGGAAGCTAGCTTCCGCTCCCTTTAAAGGGGAAAAGGTTTTTGGGGAGGCCTTGGATTCGGTCTTAATTGAATCCAAGGATAAACATAAAATCTTACCAGTGGTCACCAAAAAGCCAGATCGCAAGGGTCAGTCCTTTCCTAGGCAGCCCTTTTGGAACACAGACCCTCCAGCCTCTGGGGGATTTAATCGGTCATACTCCCAATCTCAGGATCGTCCCCAAGACAGGTCATCTTACAGGGACAAGAACAGGCAGCGGGGCAACTGCAGGCCCTTCCGAGGGGGATATTCCAACCGTTCCTTTTCGGAAGTTGAAATGACCGTCACCGGTCCCCTACCATAGGCGGTCATCTCCAACTATACGCCGCTCAATGAGAAGCGACAACAACGGACACTGATTCTGAATACGGTCCATCATAGCCTGACCCTGAAATTCCTCTCATTTCCCCCACGGACTTTTGTCCATTGTCCCATTCCCACGTCTACCCACAAGCGCCAGCTGATGCAGGTGGAGATAGGACATTTGCTGGAGATGGCCATCGAGAAGGTCCCCAGGGGTCAGGAGGGGAAGGAGTTCTACTCGATCCTCTTCCTGGTCCCAAAGTCTTCAGGGGGAGTAAGGGCAATACTGGACCTCAAGAAACTCAACATCCATCTAGTGAACAAGCGCTTCAAGATGCAGTCACTTCAGACCATACTGGGTTGCATCACACAGGGCAACCTCCTAACTTCCATCGACTTGAAGGAGGCATACCTGCATGTTCCCATTCATCCAGCACACCGCAAGTTCCTGAGATTCCAGTTTGCCAACCAGCACTATCAATACAGGGCCCTCCCCTTTGGCCTCTCGTTGGCCCCAAGGACATTTACCAAGCTTCTGGCTGCCATTGCAGCACATCTCCGATCTCTCCCAGTGAGACTCGAATGCTACCTGTACAACATTCTCATTCACTCGTCATCCAGGGGGAAAGCCCAAAGAGATCTTGACATCACCATCCGCGTTCTCCAACGCCACGGGTTCTCAGTCAATCTCGACAAGAGCCATCTGACTCCAACATGAAGAATTCTGCATCTCGGCATGGTGATTGACTCCAGGAGCTGCGAAGTCTTTCTCACATGGGAGCGGGTGGACAGCATTAGATCTCTGGTGAGATGCAACCAAGCGGCCGAGTCAGTGTCCATCGTCTCTTTCTCCCAGTTGCTCGGAAAAGTAATCTTGTGCATTTCAGTGGTTCCTTTGGCACGTCT